TCTTTAGAACCACTTTAACTGAAATAATTTGTAGATCTAAATTCATCCCCTTGATCTGCAGATGAATGAACATAATGATACAAAGGTAACAATATGTTACTTTGTATAAGAGCTTCTGGAGCAGTGTGATTTCTAAACACTGATTCAGGCTGCTTATTTGACAACTACAGCTGCAAAGGTCTTCTCTGAGTATACAGTAATGTGTCTTTGATTAGCATTTTCCTGTCCGCCCTATAGCAGATACACTGCTACAGGGCAGCACGAGTGTGCAAATCACGTATATATACGTGATTTTGCATATGCGGGTATGGGGCACTTGCAAGGTGCACACGTGCCCTACCCACGCCACCATTCGCGGCAGCAGTTGTCAATCCCAGTGATTGCTGAGGATCTCCGATGCGGGAGAGAACTGTTAGTAAATAAAACAGTTCTCCTCCCTGTCGGCTCGTGTGCACACTGCTTTGCATGACTGTGGACAGCACAGCCATGAAAAGCAGTGTGCTTACAGTGAAGCACACAGCCCCAAGTAAAACAGCACACAGTACACAGTTAACCCTTTGATCGGCCCACATGTTATCCCCTTCCTGCCCAATACCATTAGTACAGTGTCAGTGCTTTTTATTAGCACTGATCACTGTATTGTTGTCACTGGGGATGTCAGTGACACCAAGTCAGTTCCCCTCAGTGTCAGAATGCCCGCTGATCGCCTCCATTACTAGTAATAAAAAAAAAAAAATCTTAGTATGTACACAGCCATTTGTAAATGCTATAACTTTCATGTAAACCAATTAATTTACACGTATTGGGATTTTTTTTTTGGCAAAGACATGTAGCAGAATACATTTTGTTCTAAATTTATGCCGAAATTAGATTTTTGAAAAAAAATTTCTGGACATGTTTAATAGCAAAAAGTCAAAAATATTGTTATTTTCTCAAAATTGCTGGTCTTTTTTTTTATATAGCAAAAAAATAGAAAACTCACAGGCAATCAAATACCATGGAAAGAAAGCTCAATTTGTGGGAAAAAAAGGACGTAAATGTAATTTACAGCGTTGCATGACCATGCAATTGTCAGTTAAAGTAACGTAGCGCTGTGACGCAAAAAATGGCCTGGTCAGGAAGGGGGGTAAATCCTCTGGAGGGCAAGTGGTTAATCAAAGCCAACATTTGCTGTATACTGGAGGGGGTCCCAGAAGCAGGGCAGAGAGATCAAGCAATGATAACTCTGCATGGCTCAAAACATCACAAAGCATTGGTTTGACAGTGACATACTGCTACTCTGTCACAGAGGTAACACAGATGTAACAAAACTCTAAGGGAAGTAGCCTTTTTCTTACTCACAGTCTGAAATTTATTTTTGGACCAGTGAAGATGAATGTATAAACCACTTGAGCTTTGGAAGGTTTTAACCCCTTCATGAGCATTTTTTGCTACTTGTCACTGCATTAATTTAACTGGCAATTGCTCGGTCATACAACACTGTACCTAAATGACATTTTTTCACACAAATAGAGCTTTCTTCTGGTTATATTTGATCACCACTGAGTTTTTTTTTATTTTTTTTATTAACGAAAAATGGCTGAAAAGTTTGAACCCCCCCCCAATATTTTCTACTTTCTGTAATTAAACAATTAAAATAAATAAATAATAAATTAAAATGAATTTCTTCATAAATTTAGGCCAAAATGTATACTGCCACATGTCTTTGAAAACAAAAATCCCATTAAGTGTATATTAATTAGTTTGTGTGAAAGTTATATCATCTACAAACAATGGTATATATATATATATATATATATATATATATATATATATAAATTGATTAATCCTGATGTACTGATGGCTCCTTGAAACCCTAAAACACCAGGACAGTACAATTTCCACCAAAATGAACCCTTTTTAGATAGTATACAGTCTGAGGTTCTTAGTAAGAGGCATGGCAAGTTTTTTTGAAGCTGTAATTTTTTTCTCACATTTTTTGGAAAATTAAGAAATTAAACAAAAAATTACCCACAATTTCTTTTACATACTGTGTCTTGTGCAATATAACGTCATTACTGGTGTGGTGGTGATAATTTCTTACATCTCTGGGGGGGTGATCAGGGATTTTCTTTTTTTACACTGTTATTGCTTATACAGTGATGATCCTTGTATAAGTAATAGCTTTAGCTGTCATTAATGGGTTAACCATTTGTGAACAGCTTGCTTTTGATTGTGTTATTGTGATCTGTGATTGGCAAAGCTGTGCAGGTAGCCAGGTACCATGTGATTGCTTTGTGCCAATCACAGATCACAATAGTAAGCAGGCTGTTCATGAATGGAACCCCATTCATGACAGGTTGTTTACATTTTTATCATGTGATCGCTATGACCAGGGGTGGACTGACCATTCAAGCACTCGGCACTGCTCGAGGGCCCGGGGTCAATGGGGGGCCTCATGAGATGCCCCTGGTACCTTTCATTGGCTTTTTCATAGGCTTTTTTGGTTTTGGGTGAGGACACAGGGGCCCCATGATGCCCTATTGCCCGGGGGCCCCATGAGTTGTCAGTCCGCCCCTGGCTATGACCAATCATAACAATCACATGATTCCCAGTTAACCATTACCAGTAACAGTGTGCAGGCCCAATAACGTATATAAACATGACTGAGCCTGCACGTACTGCTCTACTGTGCAGGAGTGGCAAATGGTTAACCATTTTACAACTGTCCTTTGTATCTGAATGGATAGTCAGCGCCTCTACTGTGGCAAGTACTGATACATCCTTGTTTGTATGTCATGCATCTGCACGGTACACACAGCCTGTGATCTAATGTAATTGGATGCAGCAGATAACAGACAAAAGGTACAGAGCTAATAAAAGTTGATCTGTACCATGTGATCACTGTGACCAATTACTTGTGTAATCACAAGTGTAAACAATGTAGTAGATAACAAAGGATGTAATGATTTATCCATTCATTAAATCCTCCATCCTTTTTACGTCCACTGACCACCAATGTTGTGAAATTGTGTTAGGGAGGATTTAAACTGTCAGTGATGGGGTGGGAGTTGTAATATGCCACTGATACAGTGATTATGGAACTGTTCTGAGGTGGGTTAAAGGATCACTGACCACCAATGTTTTAGGGTTGTGTGGAGTGTTTAACCATTTGTCTATGGGGCAATTTGATCAACTTCACACATATGTTAAAATCTGCATTTTTTGCTAGAAATTACTTTGAACCTCTAAACGATTAAATATTTTCTGAAATCAGAGACCTTGGAGAATAAAATGGTGACAATTGAAATTTGAGTAGTTATTTATCAAATGCATATTTTTAGGAAAAAGTACATTAAAAGAATTGTAATGCAAACAAACACAATATTATACCTGAGTGGAGTAAAAAGTTACCAAACATGTAAAGCCTTAAAATTGCATGAGCTTCTGAAATTGACAAAAATGACAGTACCCAAAATACTTCATAAGTGTTGCTTCAAAATTATTTACTGATTATCATTTTGGAGTTAGCTGTGAATTATGGCCCTAGAATTTTTGTTCTCAATCTGACGTTTGTGGCAATACTCACATAATGTTTGTATACATGTGTGCACCCTATGCTACTGGTTTGCATTGGAGTGTGTAAGGTAGGGGGGTAATAAGGGTGCTTTTACATTTTGTAAATTTTTTTAGGGTTTTTTTATAGCTTTTTTAAGCACTTTTTTTCCGCAAGGGGACTTCCATGCAGGCAGATGGCAGGTTTTCTTTATTTCTATGTCAGGGGTCTATTAGGCCTGAATGTTTAACTTTAACTATTAAGCTCATCTTGATTTGTTTTTTTCCACCTCATTATCATTTCCAAACAATTGTGAAAAAAAATAAGAACATCTTGGGATGTTTGCTTTTGTAAAAAAGGGGTATTTTTGTACTATGCTAGCATTTTTTGACGTGATATACTAAAACATAGAGGGAAAGTTTTTTTTTTTTTTCAAAATTATAAGTCTTTTTTTCTTTATATAGTGGTTATTAAATACAACCAAAGGAAAACTATAGCTATTAAAAATATATAAAATTAATTTGGGTGCAGTGTTGCACTACCAAATAATTGCCATTAAAACTATCACAGCACTGAAAACTGAAAAATTGTCTGGACATAAAGGGGTTCTAGAGTAATACGCCAGTCCTGAAGCGGTGTGCATGTCCAGCTAAAACTTTTTTCTATTGAAGAGAAGACATATTGGACCTTCTACTGGGTTTTTCTCTCTCTTTCTCTCATTAAATCTAATGACATTTCGAGCTTCTGACAGCTGTAACAATCCAACAAGTTCCAATCCTCACCCACTCTATCCAAAGCTAAAAAATAAAGTTGGATTTACACTGTCATAATTGCATCATCAAAAAGATCAGAGTTTCTGAACTATAAGTTAGCCGCAATCAGATTTGATCAAAAGGTTCTCAAAATGCTGAGATGCATAAATGTAGTGCTTATTAAAAATACTTATAAGCAAAGCAAAAAAATGCCAATTTGTTATTTTTGTTTTACCTTTTGAATCTGGTGCATAGGCACACTGGAGGTCTACTTTTACAGTATGTGCTACTTATAAGGCATATCCGCTCTGAAACGATTTGCTATATATGATATATATGTCCCCTATAAATGATATATATGTCCCCAGAAATCTGTTAGACCAGAGTTGGGAATCACACAGAGGTGCCTCAGCATGGCAATGTGGCTTTCACATTTATTTACAACAAAGAGCTCTTGTTATAAGGCAAATTATTTTCCTGATGTAAATTGTGATAAGATGAGGAATAATATGCAGTGTTTTGTAAATACTCTGGATAGAGGATCCTATTTGAAGTCTATTGGGTTTACTGATAAACAAAAAATCCTTTATCCCTTAAAACTTAAAAAAAAAAAGATAAATTTAAATCTTGTGAAAGAATATTTATGTGATTGTTTTAAAAATTATAATACAATGTAAATATTTTATCACTTTTTAAACAATATTTTACAGATAATGCAAGCCAACAATTGCACAGCTGTGAATGAATTAGTGATTGTGGGATTTCAGAACCTACATGAATTTAGAATTCCATTTTTCTGCTTTTTACTATTGACTTATTTTGTGACCTACTTAGAAAACGCCCTGCTCATTATATTGGTAATTACCAGCGTTAGCCTGCAGACACCTAAATATGTCCTTTTAAGCCTGTTGTCCTTGTGTGAAATTCTTTATGTTACAAATTTAATACCAAAGATGCTCCATGACATCATAGTAGAAGGAGGAATCATTACTCTCTTTGGTTGCATTGCTCAACTGAACATATTTGGAACATTAGGATCTGTCGAGTGCTTGCTCTTTGCGCTGATGTCTTATGATCGATATGTTGCAATCTGTAAACCATTAAGATACTCTGCTCTGATAAACAATTGGCTTTGTCTTTATTTGGGCATTGCCTTTTGGATTATGTCCTTCATGTTTGTTCTGATAGTATCAATATTACTAGGAAGGCTAGAATACTGTGGCAGTAATATCATTAATCACTTTTATTGTGACTATGGTCCCCTGTTGGCACTTTCACACTCAGACATTCAGCTTACAATACTGATGACAACTGTGATTAGTGCATTATTAACCCTTTTACCATTTATTCTGATTATTTTATCCTACACATGTATTCTTTATACGATCATAAAAATACAGTCTTCAATAGGAAGGCAGAAAGCCTTCTCCACTTGCAGTTCTCACCTTTTAGTGGTTACAATTTACTATGGAACACTCACGAGTATCTACATTATTCCATCTGGGGCAAATTCAACTCACATTAATAAAGGATTATCTTTTGTGTATATTGTTGTAACTCCATTGATAAACCCAATTATTTACACTTTAAGAAATCAGGATATTCATAGCACATTGAAGGCAAAGATTGTTGAAGTAAGAAGGTATTTTGATTCATAAAAAGCATCAGGTAGATGTTATTTGATAACATTTGGTTACTGTTCCACATGGCATAAATTATAGATAAAAGTGATTTATTTTAATATACTGCCATATTCTGATAACCCAAATATAAGAATACCATTGATCCTAGATCATATGTGTTATATGTTCAATGTACTTGCATTCTAATAGATGTGGTAGACAGTACAAATAAAGTGAACCTGACTTGGTTTAATACGTGTTTAAAACAGTGGTCGTCAACTTTCTTAAATCAGGGTTATTCAAATGCAGCTGCCAATATCACTAAAGGACTATACATAAAATCCACTGAATGTAATGTTTCAGAAAGCTGTCAAAGACTGTAGATATGTTGCAGGAGATGGTCAAAGTCTTTGAGCATGCTACAAGAAATGGTCAGAGACTTAAACATGCTATAGGAGTTATTGGAGACTGAGGGCAGCCATAGACAGGAGCATCTGTTATAAAAGATCAGAAGTAAAAAAAAAAAAACATACAAAGAAATAAGAGTACAGGAAAAGTAGGGTTGTGTGAAAAACATTACTATTTAAATACTAGAGCCCAGTCTAAAAATATATATTTACGTCACTGAGTAAACATATAGGAAAACACAGAAGGAAACACATACCACACTATGCAAGAGCTAGACTGTGATCTTTCATGTATCTGCCATGTTTTTGCTTACCTATTAGCAGGGCCTTGTTTGTGCTTACCAGTACTAGTAGGCCTGTATTCTGCATTCTACAGTATTAGACTATTAGACAGGGAGTTCTCAGAATGGTTTTGTACATTTATCTGCTGCCTATTTTTATGCTAGTTGCATGCTCCCCCCCCCAAAAAAAAGTAATAAAAGTACAGATATTTTAGATAGGGGTGAAGTCTGGATTCACCACTACCATGGGTTTTCAGTGAATCCTGTGGGCTTTAAATTCTTGGTATTGGCAAATATATGTGCAAATTCACCCAGGATATTTTTTTTCCACATTAATGCACTGTATGGACCTAGAACTAGACCTAGAACTATAACAAGCAGGCTTTCAAAGGTCAAGATAAGCCAGTCACTATATGAAAGGAAGCACGGCAGTCCTAATGGGGGGGGGGGGATAGGGAAAGCTGACAAACTGCAAAGTTAGAAAACTGTACTTAAATTCTGATTGCTAGCTAATTGGGCAAATACCCACTTCGCTGTGTCTTTTTGTTTCTCATATTGGGATTTTTTTTCTTTAATGTCAGTTTGTGGTTGATTTGAGGGCAGCGGTCACATTTAGCTCTAATATTTCCACAATTTATTTTAGACTTCATTAACTATCAGGCCCCAAAAAATATAACCTTATAATTTTAAGATCCCAATAGAAGATTATGTATAGTGTGAAAAAAATAAAAGTAGATAAGTAGATCATTGTCATTAAAATGGAAGGAATATGGCATACACTGCACAACCTAAATTTGTATACCTTTCTGGGGGGCCTAATTTGATAAAACACTTGTTACATGCAGCTTCTGAGGATAGCAAACACAGTAAAGTGTTTATTTTTCACTATGGAAAAAAAAGGAACACCATTCTTGAAACACAGGTGTTGAACCCTTGGTCTCTCTACATTCCCATTGTGTAGCATTGGATGGCGGTGTGCTTGAAGAGAGCGCTTGTGCAAGCTACAGCTGACCTGGTACAAGGAACGAGGATCTTGTAAAGCATGGAATACAGAACTCACAGGAATGGCAGGAATAAAGTATAGCATTGGAGCGCTGCTCTTCCAGCCAGGAAGGACACAGAATACTTGTAAGACAGGGGTCTCTTAGCAGCAGTGGAATGCTGAGCTTACAGGAACACAGAGGTAACAGTATGTATGACATACATTATATTCCCAAACGTATTTAGACACCCCTCCAAATAATTGGATTCAGGTGTTCCAATCTCCTGTATGGCCACAGGTGTATAAAATCAAGCACCTAGGCATGCAGACTGCTTCTACAAACATTTGTGAAAGAATGGGTCGCTCTCAGGAGCTCAGTGAATTCAAGCGTGGTACTGTGATAGGTTGTCACCTGTGCAATAAGCCCATCCGTGAAATAACAAAGCTGAATGACAGCTGACAGCTAAATATAAAAACAATTTCCAGCATTGCCCAGCAATTAAAAAAAACTAAAACATGTGGGGTCCCCCCATTCATACCAAGCCCTTTGGGCCCCCTCCAAAATCCATTCCAGCATGCAGCCCAGCATTTTAGGCAAGGGGTGAGACAAGGAGCCCCCCCTGAACCATACCAGGCCACATGCCCTCAACATGGGGGTGAGTGCTTTGGGGCAGGGGAGTCTCCCTCCCCCAAAGCACCTTCTCCCCATGTTGATGGGGACAAGGGCCTCTTCCCCACAACCGTGGCCTGTGGTTGTGGGGGTCTCCATGTGGGGGGCTTATCAGAATGTGGAAGCCCCCTTTAACAAGGGGGCCCCCCGATCTCTCCCCCCCATGTGAATGAGTATGGGGTACATTTTACCGCTACTCATTCCCAAAAAAAAATGTAGTGTACAAAATAACAGAAGACAGTCTTTGACAAGTCCTTTATTAAAAACTGTCCCCCGAAGTAGATCCAACGTCTGTCATGATGTCTGCTGCAGCCACAGACCCGGAAAAAGAAAAAAAAAACACTCCACTCTCGACGCTGGCTCCTGCCGTCTGACAGCTGCGCCGGGATGAAAGTTCTTTAATACGACGATGCATCACACCAATGATGGGGCACTATTCCTCCCACTGATACCAATGATGGGGCACTATTCCTCCCACTGATACCAATGGTGGGGCACTATTCCTCCCACTGACACCAATGATGGGGCACTATTCCTCCCACTGACACCAGTGATGGGGCACTATTCCTCCCACTGACACCAATAATGGGGCACTATTCCTCCCTCTGACACCACTGATGGGGGCACTATTCCTCTCCCTGTCACCAATGATGGGGCACTATTCCTCACACTGACACCAATGGTGGGGCACGATTCCTCCCACTGACACCAATGATGGGGCACTATTCTTCCCCAGGAGCGCAGTAGGACAGGTGAGGGGCAGTGGGACAGGAGGAGTGCAGTGGGACAGGTGAGGGGCAGTGGGACAGGAGAAGCACAGTGGGAAAGGTGAGGGGCAGTGGGACAGGAGAAGGAGTACAGAGGGACAGGAGGAGCGCAGAAGGATAGGTGAGGGGCAGTGGGACAGGAGGAACGCAGAAGGATAGGTGGGGGGCAGTGGGACAGGTGAGGGGCAGTGGTACAGGAGGAGCATAGTGGGAAAGGTGAGGGGCAGTGGGACAGGAGAAGGAGTACAGAGGGACAGGAGGAGCGCAGAAGGATAGGTGAGGGGCAGTGGGACAGGAGGAACGCAGAAGGATAGGTGGGGGGCAGTGGGACAGGTGAGGGGCAGTGGTACAGGAGGAGCATAGTGGGACAGGTGAGGGGCAGTGGGATAGGAGGAGCGCAGAAGGATAGGTGGGGGCAGTGTGACAGGTGAGGGGCAGTGGAACAGGAGGAGCGCAGAAGGATAGGTGGGGGCAGTGGGACAGGTGAGGGGCAGTGGTACAGGAGGAGCACAGTGGGACAGGTGAGGGGCAGTGGGACAGGAGGAGCGCAGAAGGATAGGTGGGGGCAGTGGGACAGGTTAGGGGCAGTGGGACAGGTGGAGAGCAGTGGGACAAGTGAGGGGCAGTGAGACAGGAGGAGCGCAGTGGGACAGGTGAGGGGTAGTGGGACAGGAGGAGCGCAGTGGTACAGGTGAGGGGCAGTGGGACAGGAGAAGGAGCACAGAGGGACAGGAGGAGCGCAGAAGGATAGGTGAGGGGCAGTGGGACAGGAGGAGCGCAGAGGGATAGGTGGGGCGCAGCGTGACAGGGGACATGTGACAGGATCAGGGCAGCTGGACAGGAGGAACGCAGAGGAACAGGTAAGGGGCAGATGGACAGGAGGAGCGCAGTGGGACGGGTGAGGGGCAGATGGGCAGGAGGAGCACAGAGGGACAGGGGAGGGGCAGATGGACAGGAGGAGCACAGAGGGACAGATGAGGGGCAGATGGACAGGAGGAGCACAGAGGGACAGGTGGGGGGCAGTGGGGACAGATAGGTGGTAGTGGGACAATGTGGGGGACAGGAGGGGGAAGTGGAACAGGTGTGGGGCAGGGTGACATGTGAGGGCAGGGGGCAGTGTGATGGATGGGGGGCAATGGGACGGGGGAGGGAAGTAGAACAAGTAGGGGGCAGTGTATCAGGGGACAGTGAGACAGGACCAAGGGAGCACCAGTCCTCCAAGCATTTACCTGTCCAGCAGCGGCTCCTCCAGATGGTGTCAGGATCATTCCAGGATGGGTGCCTGTGTCCCTTCTCCCCCTCGATCTCTGGTGGCGGCTGCAAAGGAGCGGGCTGGCTCCGCCCCCCTGACCTTGTCCTCTTCTGCTTTCTCCTTCTGGCCTTCACCTGGATACCGGCACACTGAAAGCGGGCCCCGCCCCTCACACGCTCCGAGCGCACTCTGGGGATCCGCCCACCACTCCGCTCACCTCTGCAGCCGGTCCCTGTATCTTTCCCATGGAAGTGTCCCTTCCGTGGGAAAGGGGGGGGCACTGCCACCATGCTGCCCCCCTGAAAAGTGCCGCCCTAGGCAAATGCCTAGGTTGCCTCGCAGCAAATACGCCCCTGGTTGGACCTATCAGCAGATATGCTTGCTAAGCAGGGGATCTCTTTGCTGAGCAAGTGGATGATATGTCCGTGTCTGCTTCGCTGCTCCAGAACAGACACATACACAGCTGTTGTCTCTGGGTGGTCAGATGGAAATGGACCACCTGTCGGTCTCCATCCGACTGCCATCTTATCTGATCCAATGGATGGAAGGGGAGTGGAT